AATGCTCTAATGCTACTCATAATGCTTTTGTCTTTTCGCAGTAAATCTGACAATGTTCTGCTGCAAATAATAATGTTTTCAATGGCTAAACATTCAGAAGTCGTCCACCTCTCCTTCTTCCCAGTCTGTCTTAGTCTGGAAGCTCATATGAAACCTAGCCATCATAGATGACCCTGCTGGTATTTAAAATATCCATGGCATAATTTCCAGTCTCACAGCAACTCACAAGCCACCACAGTATATGACAAACTGACAGATGAGTGGTGAATAAGGAACAAAGAAGGACATTATCTCATAAGTAAAGGATCAATTTCACAAGTGGACATGTTGTTGTTGTTAAGTGTCGTCGAGTCGGTTCCGACCCATAGCGACCCTGTACAGGGTTTCCGAGGGTGTAAATCCTTACGGGAGTAGAAAGCCTTATCTTTCTCCCGCGGAGCGGCTGGTAGTTTCGAACCGCTGACCTTAAGGTTCGCAGCCCGATTCGTAACCACTACGCTACCAGAGCTCCTTACAAGTGGACATAGCCATAATAAATAAATATCTATGCTCCCAGTGAAAGAGACTCAAAACATATGTCAAACTCTAACACAATTAAAGAAAGAAACAGACAGCTCACAGTCAAAGTAGGAGATTTTGATGCACCACTTCTGATGAAGGACAGAAAAATAAAAAATTCAACAAAAACACAGAAGAACTAAGCAGCACAATTAACTAAAGTTGCCCCATAAATTTATACAGCACATTCAATCCAACAACAGCACAATATACATTCTTTTCCAGCAACCATGGAACATTCTCCAAAATAGATCATATATTAGACCACAAAGCAAGCTTCAATAAAATTTGAAAGCTCAAAATATTGCAAAGAATTTTCTCAGAATACAACAATATAAAATTAAAAATCAACAAAAGGAAGATTAAGGAGAAATGTCAAATACAAGGACATTAAATAATACCCTCCTTAAAAATTATTGGGTAATAGAAAAAAAAAATCCTTCAATCAAATGAGAATGAAAACACAATACACCAAAATATTTGGGGCAAAACAAAAGCAGTACTCTGAGGACCATCTGGAGCAATAAACACATACAGAAGAAAAAAATAAATAAAGATACAAAATCAACACCTTAACATCTACAGTCAGACAAAGAGCAACAAAGTAAGTCTACTGCCACTGGAAGAAAATAATAAAGATTAGAGCAGAAATAAATGAATTAGGAAAACAGTAGAAAAAAATCAACAAGATAAGAAGTTGGTTATTTGAAAGGATTAATAAAATCACCAACCACTGGCAGATCTAACAAAAGAGCATATGGAGAAAATGCAAATGACACAATTAAGAAATTAGATAGGAGAGGTCACAACAGAACCAAAGGAAAGACTTGTACTCAAAAAAATTTGAAAAATCTAGAAGAAATGGACAAATTTCTAGAAAAACACTACCTTCCTAAACTAACAGAGTGAAGTAGAAAACCTGAACAGACCTATAACAAAAGAAGAAATTTATAAGTCTATTTTAAAACTCCCAATAAAAGTCCAGTTCCAATGCACACCAATGTTCATAGCAGCACTATTTACAATAGCAAAAAGATGGAGGCAGCCAAAGTGCCCATCAACTGAAGAATGGATAAACAAACTGTGGTACATACACACAATGGAATACTATGCTACCTTGAAGCACAACAAGGAAGCTGCAAGCCAACGCATAACATGGATGAACCTTGAGGGCATTGTGTTGAGTGAAATTAGTCAGTCACAAAAAGAGAAATACTGCATAGGACCATTATTGTAAAAGACTAAGGGAAAGAACCCATACTAAAGGGGGGTGGGGGGGATTCTTTGTTGATTATTGGGAAGTTGGGGGTGGGTGATTGAAGTGGGGATTACATTAACACAAAGTTCCTAGGGGGGGGGGGGGAAGTTCAGTCTCAGGTGGCTTAACTGGTGAATGCTACCAAACATTCAGAGAAGAACTAACACGAATTTTACTCTTAACTATTCCATAACATAGAAAAGGATTAAAACTCATTAATTCATTTTATGATGTGAGATAACCCTGGTATCAAAAAGGGGAAAGATAACCTAAAAAGTACTTTAAGATAACTGCTCCGTGGAAGCCCTATACAGAGTTGCCATGAGGCAGACTTATTCAAACTGTATGCTGAGCAAATAATCCAAGAAGCTGGGATATATCAAGAAAAACACATCAGGATTGGAGGAAGATTCATTAACAACCTGCAATATGCAGATGATACAACCTTGCTTGCTGAAAGTGAAGAGGACTTAAAATATTTACTGATGAAGATCAAAAAGCACAGCCTTCGGTATGGATTGCATCTCAATGCTAAGAAAACAAAAATCCTCACCACTGGACTAATAAACAACATTCTTATCAACAGAGAAAAGATTGAAGTTGTCAAGGACTTCATTTTTCTTGGATCAACTATCAACACTCATGGAAGCAGCAGTCAAGGAATCAAATGATGTATTGCATTAGGCCAATCTGCTGCACAAGACCTTTTTAAAGTGTTGAAGAGCAAAGATGTCAGCTTGAGGAATAAGGTTTGCCTGACCCAAGCCATGGTATTTTCAATAACTTCATATGCATGCAAAAGCTGGACAGTGAATAAGGAAGACTGTAGAAGAACTGATGCTTTTGAGTTATGGTGTTGAAGGAGAATATTGAAAGTGCCATGGGCTGCCAAAAGAACCAGTAGATCTGTTTTGGAAGAAGTGCAGCCAGAGTGCTCCTTAGAGGCCAAGATGGCCAAAATTTGTCTCTCATATTTTGGCCATATTGTCAACGGAGACCAGTCACTGGAGAAGGATATCATGTTTGGTAATGTGAAGGGTCAGAGAAAAAGAGAAAGACCCTCAGCAAGATGGATTGGCCTAGTGGCAGCATCAATGGGCTCAAGCGTGGCAACAATTGTGAGGTTGGCCCAGGACCAGGCAGAGTTTCATTCTGTTGTACATAGAGTCGCTATGAGTCGGTACCGACTGGATTCTACCAAACATCAACAACAACAACAAGCGTCAGAACCTACTTGATGGCACTTAAGAACAAACAATTCTTCATAAACATAAATGCAAAAAATTCTCTACAAAATCCTAGCCAATAAAATTCAACATAAAAAGATAACATCAAGACACTTGAGATTAATACTAGGTGTACAAGGATGCTTCAATAGTAGAAAAACAATCAACATAATTCACCACATAAGTAAGACAAAATAACCACATGATCATAGTGATTGATGCAGTAAAGGCATTTAAAAACTAGATACTTATGTACATCAAAATGATTCAGCAAAAGAGCAAACACAGAGCCTACAGACTGGGAAAATTGCCAATAACATTACGCAAGGGACTAATCTCTAAAATTTTTTTAAAACTTCAACACCTCAACAAGAAAAAGACAAATGAAACAATTTAGAAATGGGTAGAAAACAAAAATTTCACTAAAGACGACAATCAGGCAGCCAACAAGCATATGAAGAAATGCTTGCAATCATTAGCCATTAGAGATGCAAATCAAAACAAGAATGAGATATCCTCTATTCTCAGCTGTAATAGCAAAGTTCAAAAAATCAGAAATCAATGAATGCTGGAGAGATTGTGAAGAGACTGGGATCCTCCTTTACCGCTGATGGGATGTAAAGTGGTACAATTGTGGAAAATGGCATGGCACTTCCCCAAAAAGCTGGAAATAGAAATACCATATGACCCAGCAATCTCTCTACTCAGTACATATGCTCAAGAAATAAGAACTGTAACACATATTCATAAATATGTGCACATCCATATTCATTGCAGCACTTTTCCCAATTACAAAAAAGATGGAGACATGCTAAATGCCCCTAAATGAAAGAATGGATAAAGAAACTTTGGTACATACACACAATGGAATACTATGCAACATTGAAGAAAAACTAAGAATATGCAAAACATAACATGGTTGAATCTGGAGGACATTAATTCTTCATGAAATTAGTCGATCACAAAGGGACAATTATTGCATGAGAGTACTCTTGTAAAGAGTCGAGAAAAGGTCTTCATGCTAAAACAAATATTATTTGATAGTTATCAGGGATGGTAAGAAGGTAGGCACATACTAGGGTGACAGGGAAGGCAATTACAAGAAGGAAGTGTCAGAAGAATAATTAAGGCAATTGAAGACTCAGGGAGAAGTGCAAGAGTTACAGGTAGTAGAGGTTAATACTGTTTTGTATACAGTCATACACGAAAAGAAGAAGACCCCCAATGAGATGAATTGACACAGTGGCACCAACAATAGGCTCAAATGTAACAACAATTGTAACAATCTTGCAGGATTGGGCAGTGTTCATTCGTTCTGTTGTGCATAGGGTCACTATGAGTTGGAACCAACTCAATGGTACCTAACAACAACGTAGCTAAAATTTTAGCACTGAAGATCAGAAGAATTGTTTCCTGAACTAACCTGCTAAGAATAGAGTCAACTTTTTGAGAAAAAGAAAATTCATACCCATAAAACAGAGGCATGAACAATAATTCTTTCTGAGATGATATTGAGTCTATGTAAGAATGACATACTGAAAATACATTATTATCAGAAGAACTGATGAATTAGAACAATGATACTAAAAGTACCCAATGAGTTTCTCATTCTCCTAAAAATGTAAGTATGGTCAATGTCTTTTGTCCATTTGCTTGTTTCAGAAATAACCGTAAGTAGTATAATTGCTTCTTGTCTTTATCAATAGCCATATGTATGCTCTATTTGAAAATTTAAATGTTTATCACATAATTGCATATCTTTGTCTCCTTGGAAAATAGTTATATTTAGTTTTGTACCTGCATTCTGCATATAAATTATAATTATTATTTGTTATATCAGTCAGGGCAGTTTCTAATCACTAAATAAAAGGTGCCTAAATAATTTGGTGGCAAGCGGGGCTTTACTGTTAAGAATCAAAACACATAAGCTGTTCTCTGCCACTTTTCAATGTACATACCGGTGTTTGCAACATGTAATACTCCAGAAATTATTTGTGGAATGTTTCCAAAAGAGACACTCTCTGTAAATCCACCATGTTCATGTTTTCTTCTCCAATGGCTATCAGCATAGGGAGTTTTAACACTGCCTTCCAATATGCAAGTAACCGCTGAACAGCCACTCCATTGAACTCTGGACACTTCTTTCCTTCCAAGACGTAAAAGCCTATCCATTCTCCAAAATGCTTTTGCAAAGGCTTTGTGTATGTCCTCATACTTACAGTGCAATGCTTTTGACTTTTCTGACTTGAAAGAGAAGTGATCTTCTATCTTTTTGTATTCTTCCTTAAACACTGTGTGAAAAGAATCAATTACTTGTTGCTCTTCAGGGGTCATTTGGTAGGAGGGATCAAATCTGGAAATTTGATGGAGAAGTAAAACCGGGAGTTCCACTGATGCCAAATCTGCTGCTGAGGCTCCATGATGGCCATCAAATAAACCAAAAAAGCACACATTGGGTTTATTGCCAAAATTATTCACTATGGTGAATTTATCATCCATGGTAGTTCTCCATGCAGAATTCCTGTCTTCACAAATGGCTAACCCTTTAATTAATAGATTGCTAATGTTTTGAGGATATACGGAATTCGTGTCAACATTATCCACAATCTTATAGTATGTTGGTACTTTTCTCTTCCAAAGTAGCTCAAATGCATTATTAATGGTCTGTAGGTCTTTTTCACTGAACTTAAAAGGAGAATATGACAATAGTTTAGTAATTAAAAACTGTCTATGAGAAATGATCTCTGATCTCTCTGGTTTCTTGCCACCCATCCAGTGAAAACCCAATGCGGTCAAAGCTTTATGTTGTTTCTTATGGATGAAAAAATCAGGAATGGCAATTTCGTTCTTGCATATAGAACATGGGAACATGGCATCTTGCTTAGAGGCCTGTGACTCCTTATGGTCTTCAATGTTTCCCAATGGTCTCTTCTTCTTCTTCTTCTTCTTGTTCTTTCTAAAATATTTTTTTTTCTTTGAAACTGTAATGTTCCCATCTGAATCAAATGTTGCTATTCTCATTTTCCAATCTTTTGCTTTCCAAAATACTCTGAAAAGAGGATGAAAGATATTTACATGTTAGGAATAATACAATAAAACTTTCTGCAAACAGATCCTACCAGTGCAATTTGCCTTAGGTCCTCAATGTGGTGGTGGTTGTGTGCCACCGAGTCAGTTCCGACTCATAGTGACCCTGTATAGGGTTTCTGAGGCTGTACATCTTTACAGGCGCAGAAAGCCTCATCTTTCTCCCACGGAAAAGCTGGTAGATTTGAACTGCCAACCTTGTGGTTTGCAGTCCAGCTCGTAATCCACTACACTACCAGAGCTCCTTAAGGTCTGTAGAGAACTAGAATTATATGAGGGGACTTTAAAAATTTATGGAAAAATGATATTTTTCCACTAAGTTTTTGAAGACTCTGGTGGCGCATTGGTTAGGCATTGGTCTGCTAATCTCAAGGTCAGTGTTTCAAACCCACCAGCTGCTCCACAGGAGACAATTGAGGCAGTGGGTTACACGTTGGGCTGCTTACCACAAGGTCAGCAGGTCAAAACTACCAGCTGCTCCATGGGAGAAAGATGAAGTTTTCTATTCCCATAAATATTTACAGCCTTGGTAACCATCTATACAGGGTCACTATGAGTTGGAACCAACTCCTTGGCACACAACCACCACCACCACCACCACCACCCCTGGGACAGCTTTGTTATTGAGCGTCATCAAGCAGTGACCTCCTAGACATCAGAATGAAACACAGCTGGGTTTTGATGCTACGCCTGAGCCTACTCATCACAATTGGCCATTCAATCACAATTCATTTCATTGAGGCTCTTTTTGTTTGTTACTAATCTTTTACTTTTCCAAATATGATGTCCTCCTCCAGGGAATAGTCACTCCTGATAGCATGTCCAAAGCACATGAGATAAAGTCTCCCGTCACATTCTCCTTTCTAAGGAGGATTCTGGTTGTACTTCTTACAAGGCAGATTTGTTCATTCTAGGTATGTTGTTCAACATTCTTCACCAAAGCCATAATTCAAATGCTTCTGTTCTTCTGTAGTCTTCTGTATTCATTGTTCAGCTTTCATATGTATTTGTTGTTGTTAAGTACCATTGAGTCAGTTGTGACTCACAGTGACCCTGAATAGGGTTTCCTGGAGTCCTGGTGAGGTATTGTGAGATAAGGCATTGGACCACAAGGAGGTAGGTTTGAAGCACAAGATTGATGATTCAAACTTACCAGCCATTTCTTGGAAACCCTAGACAAGGTCGTTTATGAGTTGAAACCAATGTGACAGCAATTAACAACAATAAGGGTTTACAGGCAGCGGCTGGTAAGTTTGTACCACTGACCTTTAGGTTCAAACCGACCTTGTGGCCCATTGTATTATCCTGCAGTGCCACACATTCATATGCAAAGGAGGCAATTGGAAAAGATAACACTTAGAGGAAACGACCCAAGACATGGTATTTTAAAATGCTTCCTAAGCATATGAATTAAAAATACTGTTTTGAAATGTCAGTCAATTCAGACTCATCACAACCCTGTATAGGGTTTCCAAGGAGCAGCTGGTGAGCTTAAACTGCTGTTTCAGTTCAAACGACTTTGCCGTCTGACACATTAGCTCACAGCACCACACCAGGACTCCATGTTTTGGATTGTTGTTGCTGTTAGGTGCCATTGAGTCCACACCAATCCATAGCAAACCTATGCACAACAGAACAAAACACTGCCCGATCCCAGGCCAACCTCACAATCTTGCCAGGCTTAAGCCCATTGATGCTGCCACTCTGTCAGTCCATCTCGCTGAAGATCTTCCTCTTTTTCTCTGACCCCTCTACCTTACCAAACATGATGTCCTTCTCCAGCGACTGGTCCCTCCTGACAATATGTCCGAAGTATGAGAGACGAATTTTGGCCATCTTGGCTTCCAAGGAGCACTCTGGCTGCACTTCTAAAATGGATCTATTGGCTCTTTTGGCAGCCCATGGCACTTTCAATATTCTCCTCATAATGCAAAAGCATCAATTCTTCTACTGTCTTCCTTATTCACTGTCCAGCTTTCCTATGCATATGAGGTTATTGAAAATAACATAGCTTGGGTCAGGGGCACCCTAGGCCTCAAGCTGGCATCTTTGCTCTTCAACACTTATAAAAGGTTTTGTGCAGCAGATTTGCCTAATGCAATATGTCATTTGATTTCTTGACTGCTGCTCCCATTAGTGTTGATAGTTGATCCAAGAAGAATGAAGACCTTGACAACTTCAATCTTTTCTCTGTTGATAAGAATGTTGTTTATTGGTCTGGTGGTGAGGATTTTTGTTTTCTTTACATTGAGATGTAATCCATAAGGAAGGTTATGCTCATTGATCTTCATCAGTAAGTATTTTAAGTCCTTTTCACTTTCAGCAAGCAAGGTTGATCATCTGCATATCACAGGTTGTTAATGAGTCTTGTTAATGAGTCTTCCTCCTGATGCCCCGTTTTTCTTCTTAGAAGCCAGCTTCTCGGATTATTTGCTCAGTATACAGGTTGGGTAAGTATGGTGAAAGAATACAACCTTGTCGCACACCTTTCCTAATTTAAAACTATTCAGTGTTCCCATGTTCTGTTTGAACAACTGCCTCTTGGTCCATGTGCAGATTCCTCATGAGCACAATTAAGTGTTCCGAAATACTCATACTTTGCAATGTTGCCCATAGCTTTTCATGATCCACACAATCAAAAGCCTTTTCATAGTCAATAAAGCACAGGTATACATCTTTCTGATAGTCTCTGCTTTCAGCCAAGATCCATTGGACATCAGCAATGATATGCCTCATTCCATGGCCTCTTCTGAATCTGGCTGGAACATCTGGAAGTTCTCTGTCAATGTATGCTTGCAGCCGTTTCTGTATTACCTTTAGTAAAACTTTACTCGCATGGAATATCAAAGAGTTGGTCTGATGATTTCTGTATTCCTTTGGGTCACCTCCCTTTGGAATGGGCACAAATATGAATATCTTCCAATCAGTCAGCCAAATAGTTGTCTTCCAAATTTCTTGGCATAGATGAGTGAGTGTCTCCTGTGCTGCCTCATTTTCTTGAAAGATTTCAATTTTCAGTCCATCAATTCCTGGTGTCTTGTTCTTTGCCAATTCCTTCAGTGCACCTTGGACTTCCTTCTTCAGCATCATTGGCTCTTGATCATACTCTACCTCTTGAAATGGTTGGATAGCAACCATTTCCTTTTGGTACAGTGACTGTATATTCCTTCTCTTGATGCTTTCTGCATTATTCAATAATTTGCCCTGAAAATCCTTCAAGAATGAAAGTCGAGGCTTAATTTTTTTTCCTTCAATTCCCCCAGCTTGAGAAATGCTGAGTTTGTTCTTCCTTTTTGGTTTTCTGATTCCAGATCTTTGCACATTTTGTTGTAATATCTCACTTTATCTTCTTGAGCTGACCTTTGAAATTTTCTGTTCAGCTCTTGTACCTCCTGATTTCTTCAATTTACTTTAGCATGTCTACACTGGAGAGCAAGTTTCAGTGTCTCTTCTGACATCCATTTTGACCTTTTTCTTCTTTCTTGTCTTCTTAATGATGTTTTGTTTTCTTCATGTATGATGTTCTTAATGTCATCCCACAACTCTTCTAGTCTTCGGTCTTTAGTGTTTAATGTATCAAATCTGTTCTTTAGATGATCTCTAAATTCAATTGGGATTTATTCAAGGTCATATTTTGGTTCTCGTGGACTTGTTTTCATTTTCTTCAGCTTCAGTTTGAATATGTCTTGGATAGAAAGCAATTAAAAGTACCATGTTTGCATCAGGTTCTCAAAGTGATACCTTTGCTTTTTAACACTTTAAAGAGGTTTTTGTGCAGCAGATTTTCCCAGTGCATGATATCATTTGACTTACATACTACTGCTTTCATGGGAATTAATTGTGGATCCAAGTAAAATGAAATCTTTGACAACTTCAATACTTTCTCCACTTATCATGATGTTGGCGGTTCAGATGTGAGGATTTCTTTACATTAACGTGTAAACCATACTGAAGGTTTTTGATCTTCATCAGTACGTATTTTAAATCCTCTTGATTTCCAGCAAGCAATGTTGTATTATTTGCATATTGCAAGTTGTTAATGAGTCTTTCTCCAATCCTGATGCTGCCTTGTTCTTCCTGTAGTTCAGCTTTTCAGATTATTTGTTCAGCATACAGGTTGAGTAAGTATCATGAAAGGATACAACCATGGCACACCTCCCTTGTGATTTTAAACCACACAGTATCTTCTTGTTAAGTTTAAATGACTTTTTCTAATTTTATGTATAGGTTCCATATGAGCACAATTAACATTGTGGAATTCCCATTCTTCACAATGTAATCCACAGTTTGTTTCACCCACATAGTTGACTGTCTTTGCATAATCAATACAATGAAGATAAGTATCTTCTTGGTATTCTCTGCTTTTAGTCAAGACCTATCTGAATTAGCAATGATATACTTCAAAAAAAAAGTGCATCCTCTTTTGAATATGGCTTGAATTTCTTATCTATCGTTGTATGACTGTAGTCACTGTTACATTATCTTCAGCAAAATTTTATTTGTGTGAGTTATAATGATACATTGTTCAATAATTTCTGCATTTTGTTGGGTCACCTTTGGAACGGATATGAATATGGATCTCTTCCAATATTTCTTGGCATAGATATTGTCGGAACATCTCAATTTCATCAATTCTGGAAACTTTTTTTTTTGCCAGTGCCTTCAGAGCAGCTTGCACTTCTCCCTTCAATTCCATCAGTTCTTGACGATACACTACCTCCTGAAATGGTTTAACATCAACCAATTCTTTTTGACTCTGTATTCCTTCCAGCTTCTATTCATTCTTCCTGTATCAGCCAATATTTTATTCATAGAATCGATCAGTATTGTACCTCAAGACTTGAATGTTTTTTCTGTTCTTTCAGCTTGAGAAATGCCAAGTGTATTTTTCCCTTTCAATTTTCTGACTCCAAGTCTTTGCACATTTCATTACAATACTTTCTTTGTCTTCTGGAGTCACCC